TTCAGAGAAATGAAAGAAGGAGTGACTAGGGAAAGGAAGAAAGGTATGAGTCAGGAACAGCAAGAGCACAGCTGGAGCACTGCTGCTCTGAGTCCACATATCTTCTGAATTCTGCTCGACTACGCCAACTATCAGGGCAGGTTCCTTCTCAAACCCTGCCCATTGCACTAACTGTTGGGTCCGAGTCCCTCTGCCTAGGAACTGGACCTTCTCGGATGCCAGGTCTTAGATGGAGAAGCCATGAGAAGTTGTGGGTGTATAAGAATGAGTCTTTTTAATTTTTTAAAAATTTGATTTCAGAGAGGAAAGGAGAAGGAGACAAAAACATCTATGATGAGAGTGAGAGCGAATCATTGATTGGCTGCCTCCAGCACGCCTCCCACTGGGGATTGACCCTGCAACGTGGACATGTGCCCTGATTGGGAATGGAATCATGGCCTCCTGGTTCATAGGTCCACACTCAACTACTGAGGCTTGCTGGCCCAGGCAGTTGTTTTAATTAATTTATGTGTGTGTGTGTGTGTGTGTGTGTGTGTGTGTGTGTTTGAGGAATTGCCATGCTGGTTGAACCATTTTACAACCCTACCAACTATAGATTGCTTTTAAAGGTTCAACTATCATGTTTATAATAAGATTGTCTTAGTTTAATAGAGAACATCAATAAGAATAAAGCCCAGACCAATGTATTTCGTATATGTTAATTAGAAGAGTTTAAGTTGATAACTGTTACAAAACCCTGATCATACAGTTTATAACTTACAAAACACTGACCATGTGTGTGTGTGTTTTTATTATTTATTTTTTTAAAAATATCTTTTTCAATAATATTGATTTTGTACAGAGAGGAAGGGAGAGAGATAGAGAGCTAGAAACATCGATGAGAGAGAGTCATCGACCAGCTGCCTCCTGCACCCCCCCCACTGGGGACGTGCCCGCAACCAAGGTACATGCCCTTGACCGGAACCGAACCCGGGACCCCTCAGTCCCCAAGCCGACGCTCCATCCATTGAGCCAAACCGGTCTCGGCCATGTGTGTGTTTTTTAAATGGAAACAAATTCAGAGGCCTTGTTTTTAGACACTTTTAGTAGACTTGTGTTTGATTTACAATTGGTTTTTGTTTAGAAATATTTGTCTATAATATTTTGGACTATTTTCATAGAAGGTTCTTTGTGTTAAATTTTGAATTAAATATTTCAGATCTACAGAAAATAATATAACAAATATCTAAGTACTTATAACCCAGCTTAAACAAAACCTTATTTCCTTAGATCTATCACCAGGAGTAGAGTGGGGGAAAAACACATCAATAAACATTTCCACTCTTGCTGACCATGACAATAAGCATACATGCATGACATCAGAGAAAAAAATTAGTAAGTAAATGAATTCGTGCTTAGCTACCTATTGCTCTTTCTGTAATTTGAGAGGAGCATGGTCCAGTAGTTAAAATCATGGGCTCTGAAGTTATACAGACTAGATTCAAGTCCTAGGTTTGCTTCTTGCTAGTTTTGTGGCCTCAAGCAAGTTGCTTAATTTATTCCTGCCTCAGTATCCTCCTCCGTAAAATGGAGATAATCAAAATACTTCTCAAGATGTTTGAAAGGGTTAAATTAAAAAGATGAACTCTTATGTATTTACTATGTAAGCCAGTGACATATAGCAAAGCTTCAATAAATATTAGTAATATTAGTAATTATTTAGTTTATTGAGCACCTACTATATGCCACCTACTATATGCCAACCATAGTACTGGCTGACAATTTAGCAGTGAATAAGAAAATTAAAGCCCCATGGAGCTTACTTTCTAGTGACAGATAAACAAAACAATTCAGATGGTGGTAGGGACTATGAAGAAAAGATAAGGTGTAAAAAGGGGAAGAGCTCCTTTAGACAAGAGACAGGAGGTCATGGGAAGCAGTATGAAGCCTTCAGAGGGAAAGCTTAACTGAGAGTAGCAGAAAGAACTAGTCATTTGGAAGTTTGGGGAAGAGTGAGAGAGAGAGAATAGTATGTGCTTAAGTCCTGAGGCAAGAAAGCTTGGTTTGTACAAGAAGAAAAAAACAGAATGGCTAGAGCTCAGTAGATGAGAGGAAGGGAGGTTGGGCATGACATCAGAGTTAAGAAGGGCAAGCCAATAAGGGCCTTATGGAGACCATAGTAAAAAGCTTGGATTTTGCCCTAACCAGTTTGGTTCAGTGGATAGAGCATCGTCCTGCGGACTGAAGGGTCCCAGGATCAATTCAGGTCAAGGGCATGTACCTTGGTTGTGGGCACATCCCCAGTAGGGGCTGTGCAGGAAGCGGCTGATTGATGTTTCTCTCTCAATGATGTTTCTCTCTATCCCTCTCCCTTCCTCTGTAAAAAATCAATAATATATATATATATTTTAAAGCAAAGCTTGGATTTTATTATCAAGGGACTGTGAAGACATTGGAGGGTTTTTATTTATTTATTTATTTAATATATCTTACTGGTTTTTTACAGAGAAGAAGAGAGAGGAATAGAGAGTTAGAAACATTGATGAGAGAGAATCATAGATCAGCTGCCTCTTGCACACCCCCTACTGGGGATGTGCCCACAATCAAGGTACATGCCCTTGACTGGAATTGAACCCGGGACCTTTCAATCCACAGATTGACGCTCTATCCACTGAGCCAAACCGGTTTAGGCCATTGGAGGGTTTTTAATGCTAGTAGGTACAGTACTCTTTGCTCTGGGGAGGAATTTGTATGCCTTTCTGTAGCTCTGTTTGGAATTAATGAGCATGTCTGTGCTTTAGGAGTAACTTCTGGGGATGCAACATTGGTTAGTCGTTTGCACCCCCTGGTGGAGTTGGTGGCTCAGCTTGCATGGTTTTAGATCAGCAATAGCCAAGTTGATGAGCAATTTATTCTTTCATTCATTCAACCAATAATTATTGGGTGCCTACAATGTGTCAGGCTCTGTTCCTGTGCTGAAGTATCTCCATGAACATAACAAACATGTGTGCCCTCAGGGAACTTGCCTTCTGGTATGTGTGAGTGTGGGGAGAGAGACATGAAGCCAAGTTCACTAGCAAAATTGTTGGGTGGGGTAAATGTTATAAGAGAAAAGTTAAGAGAGGAACTGGGTTAGGAAATTCAGGGAGGATGGTGGTGGTGCTTCCATTTTAAATATAGTGTGAGGGGAAGAGAACAGTGTCAGGGAAAGTCTCATTGAGAGGATGACAGCTGAACAAAGATATACAGGAGGTGAGAGGGGGTAGGGAGAGGGAGAGGATGATGCTATGATCAGGGGGAAGAGCATTCCTAGCAGAGGGATCAGCAAACACAAAGGTACAGGTTTGAGGAACAGCAAACAGACCATTATGCCTTGAGTAGAGAGAGAATGGAGAGAGTAGGAGATGAGGTTAGTTGTAGTGGGGATGAGGGTGTATGGGTCAAATCTCGAGCGCCCTTAGGCCAATGTAAAAATTTTGGTTTTCACTTTAAAATAGAAATTCATTGGAGGAGCAACATGATCTGGTTAAGGTTTTGACTGCAGCCTACTGCTGCTGTGTTAATATAGTGGGAAGGCAAGGGAGGTAGGCAAACAGTCACACATTTACTGAGACGTGAAATGGTCTGATCCTGGGCAGATTTCAAAGGCAAGTTGTGGAGAACTTGATGATGAATGTGGGGTGAGAGAGAGGTGTTAAAGATCTTACATAATAATATTACTCAATAAATTGGTATCATAGGAAGAGGTAATCAAGACTACAGCCAAAAATTTACCAAAAAAGAAGAGAAGAGAAAATGAAGAGAAGAGCCGAAACCGGTTTGGCTCAGTGGGTAGAGCGTCAGCCTGCAGACTGAAAGGTCCTGGGTTCAATTCCGGTCAAGGGCATGTACCTTGGTTGCAGGCACATCTCCAGTAGGGGGTGTGTAAGAGGCAGGTGATCAATGTTTCTCTCTCGTCGATATTTCTAGCTTTCTATCCCTCTCCCTTCCTCTCTGTAAAAACTCAATAAAATATATTTTAAAATTAAAAAATTTAAAAATAATTTAAAAAAAGAAAACGAAGAGAAGAGAGAGGCATATCAAGCAGTTAATTAGTAGTATTTTCTGGACTTTGTGTTAGTGAGCATTTTTAAAACCTGTAATAAATTTTCTTAAAGAGGGCCCCCAAATTGAATACATTTCAGGCTGCCACAAACCTGAATTCAACCCATATTTGGGTAGGAATTTAAAGTTAACGAAGACTTTAAAATTTTTGTGTCTGACAAAATAATTACATAAAATAATGTGCACAAAATAGAAGTTAATTGTAAGCTCAATACAATATTAGTATAAGCTAATATTGGCGATAAAAACATCACCTTGGGTTAGCCTCCCCACAAGTGTCTTCAAAAACTTTCCACATTCCTTCCACAGTTTTCCCAAACCTACCAAATGCATTTCTCCTCATGTTCGCTTTAGGGAGGCAGAAATTACACGCATTTTAAAATTGAGTGCTGAAGTGTTTTTCAACGGGGCACTGAAGCCTGAGCAAAAACTAGCCTATCATCCCTTACCGGTTTGGCTCAGTGGCTAGAGCGGCAGCCTGAGACTCAAGGGTCTCAGGTTCGATTCCCGTCAAGGGCAGGTATCCTGGTTGCCGGCCCATCCCTGGTAGGGGGTGTGCAGGAGGCAGCTGGTCGATGCTTTTAACTCTCTATCCCTTTTCCTTTTTCTCTATTAAAAATAAATAAAATATATTTTTTAAAAATTCAAGTTCTCAGGAAAGAGTCCCTCACCCCCACCAGGGACCTGGGGCAAGAAAAAACAAACAAACAAACAAAAAACTAGCCTATCAGCACCAGGTACCTGGGAGGCACCAAGAGAGGAGTAACCAGGGTGGGGCTCTCGGGGGCGGGGGCTGGGGCGGGGCAGTTTGAGGTGGGCGGGGACTGGGCGTGGCCTAGATGCTTCTCAGCCCCGCCCCGTGAGGCCTGACACATGCGCCCAGAGGCTCCTGGCGGAACGAGGTGTGGATTGTGAGGTGACCCTGCCCGGTGACTTCCGTTTTCTAGGGATGCGCTTCCGGGTCACGCTAACGCCGCGGTTTTCTCCACTCGCTTGGTTCTACTGTGGGTCGGGACCGGTCCCCATGTCCTGCAGCGGGGCCCCTGCAGCCCTTGGGTGAGTCTGCGCAGCCGACAGGGTCTGAGGGCGGCCGGACGGGTGCTGCCCGGAGGGGAACGGGCCGAGAGGTCTGGCCCCTGTGGGCGGGGGCTCTCTCTGCCTGCCCCTTGTCCCTGCTGTGCTCCCCTCACCTCAGCCCTGTGCCTCTCGCTGGCCTCGCCGCTTTCACCTCAGCTTCGCCTTCCCCGCGCCTTTCGCTTCGCTGTTTTCCCTCAGCCTCACCCACCTTTTCACAGGCACCGGCTTCTTGCCTTTTGCTGCAGCGCTTCCTTCCGCCACTGCCTCTCGTTCCCTCCCTCCCCCCATACTCTCCGTTTTTAGCACCTCTCTTCCCGGACCCCTGGCCCCGAGACCTCGCTGTCCTTTCGTCCGACAGGGCGGCCCGCGCGCGACCTCACGGTGGTCGTCCTCCTCCACCGCGAAGCAGGGCGCTGGGCACTTGTCCTCCCAACTTCCCTCGCCTTTGACCCCTCCCGGAACCAGTAGGTGACATTTGTGCTCTGCCTGGGGCTCTCCCGCCTTTTCTCGGCTCGCAGAGGGCTGTGCTGTAAACCCCCGAGCTGGGCAGGTTTGCCAGGCCTGGGGGGTGGGGAGTGTTGCCCGGAGGCGCTGGGTTCGACTGAACTCCGGTAGCTTCCGTGGTTTGGGGACAACAAAGGCGTGCCCGGTGCCCGGCGGAGCCCGGCTCTGGGGCTTTGCGGGCTCCCAGGTAGCAGGCACACGTCACTGCGCGCGATTGGGCTCCACTCATCTCGGTAATTGACAGGTCGTGAGGGCGGCCTGTCATTTTGAGGTTCTCTCTTCCACGAGAATGGAGACGCCGCGCACTCCGAGGCAGAGAAAATGCCATGTTCCGGGCGGATCGGCTCTGTTTTCTGCAGGGGCTTTACTTACAGGACAGTTGCTATGAAGGAGGACAGAGTTTCTTGGGACAGTAGTAGCCCCAGATTTATCGCCAAAAGTTTTAGTAAGTTGTTACTAAAACGTTTTCTGCTAAAGAGTGCATTAGAATGGTAGTTTTCAAAGCATGTTTTCTTCAGTGGCACTCCGTGTGCATGTGTCTGCATTCTTGCCTGTTATACATTGTTTCTTCATTTTCACTGTATCAGCAATTTTCTATCTTTCTTCCTGTTTCTTCCTAAGCCAGACATTGCAGTACTTTGTTTCTTAGAATATTCTTCTTTTATTTTTTCCCCCTTTACTTTCCCCATCTCAGTCTTAAGACTATCTTTTGCTCATTTTGAGACTCAAGTTTCTTTTAAATCTCTTAACATTTCAGGAGGCTTTTAGTCATCTCTAAAATGAAAGGGTTGGATTTAAGAATGGTTAGTGTCCTATTTCCCAGATTTTGTGATCTGAGGTATATTTTTTTACAGGATTGGATAATTTTTATATTTGTTTTCCCAATCTTTATGGTATATGTCTAGCATACCATTGCAAACGTTTTTGTGTGATCGGTTTCTATAATCATATAAATTGTTATAAAATTTAGTACTTCAGTGAACAGAATAAATACAACTTTTAGCATCTGCTTCTCTTTTGACTTATAAGTTATAGAAAAGCCTCCCTCACTATATGATCCATATACATCTGTGAACATAGCATAGATCTTGGCTTATTCCAAAATTGGGCTTGCTCCCTTCATCTATTTTTAGCAAGGGACTTTGGAGGGTGGCCATATTAGTCCCAGAAGCCACAGAGAAGGACCCTTCTGGTTGGCTTTCAGGACTTACCTAACTGCTGAGGGAAGCCCCTTACAAATAAAGAAGTCCTGTGCTTGCACACAGAGAAGTGGGTGTTAATTCAATCAAAACTATAGCCTGGAGAGCACAACATAATATGTAATTGTTTATTTCAATAAATTTATGTCATAGGAATAAAAGTTTTAGGGTAATAGATGTATGACAGATTTAAAAATTTTAAAATTGAAGTCATTTAGCCTTCAAATAAGGATACTGTAAAGAAACTGTTGTGCAGAAGTAGAAGCTGAAAGTCTTTTATTCTAAAACCACTGTGATTCAGATTCTGCATAAAAGCCCCTGCGTGAAATGAGCAGCTATCACATTGGAGCAGTTGTGTCCGTATTCTCGGTCTCCGTACTTCCTAGTGACCGAAAAGCCTGCATCTCTGACCTAAATGAAACTCAACAGGCAATTCACACAAAAATTTGCCAAACAACAACAGAATTACTAGAGACAGTTTGGTGTGCACAGTGAGTCCTATCTTAACACCATTGATAGGTTATGTGACTTCAAGCCAAATGACATATAATGGAACCAGTGTTACCATAGACTAATTGTTATAGTTAAGTTCCTCTGCATCTCATCAATGTTAGAACAATGCGACATTATTTGAGGACCAGGTGCATGTATTTTTAAAGCTTAGGAGAGGTGTCACTATCAGTTTACTTATAGAAATTTCTGCTTTAGTTTGGCAGTCTTATTTTATAACCCTGAGGATTGGGTTTAAAGTATGTTTTTGCATATTAGTTTTCTGCCTGCCAGTTAGTTTTTGTTTTTTATTTTTTAATAACAAATATATACAAAAAATAATATACTACAAATAATCTTAAACTCTGAAATCTTAATGTTTCCAAAGTGAATTTAACAACTTTGAAATATAAAAAGACAGAAAACTAAAACAAATTTCTAACTTTTCTCCATTCTCATTTCCAAATTTGAAAATTTGTGCAAAATTTAGTACATTAATATCTCTAGGACTGCCCTTTCTAGAATAATATATTTTAAACTAGTGTGCGTTTTTACTTTAGAAAAGAGATGGGGAACTTTCACAAATTCTTTTTTAAATTAAAAAGATGCAAATAATAATTTAGGATATATTCATCATCTTAATAGTTTTTATACTTTTATTATTTCCAAATTTTAAAAAATTGGTTCACTTCTAAGGGAAGGAGGTGGTTTTATATAGAGATGCAGCTTAATGCAAGAGTCTGGGACTCAGATGTGATGAGAAATTATTTTTCTAAATATTTTGAAAACAATGAGAATTATGGAATCTGGTTAACAGAAAAACTATAATTATTTCTGGTAAGAAGTGACACTTGGTTAGGGATACTACTTATTTTTAATTATTAACTCTATTAATTCAGACATTAAGTACCCTGTTTTGTTTTGTTTTTAATAGTAGTTTTTGTTTGTCTTGTTTTTTTCTATGGTGGGAAAAATGTGCTGAAAAGTATAAACTTTGCTTTGATGATTTACCTGTTGGTTTTTAGAATGTTCTTTGCTTTGATTTAAACATTTCATTTTTGTTTCAAAAGCAACTCTTTTTCTATGTGGATTTGATAATCTGTTTATCTTTTAAGCCTTAAAATTTAAGGTGTCAATAGTTTTCTTTCACCTAAACTTTAATAATATAACAAATACTGAATTTAGGAAAAATTGGTAGTTTGTTGATATTGGCACTGTTGCTATAGGAATAAATGATTAGCTCTTAGATGGAATTGAACTTTATTATTTAGTTTCCATACTAGTTGAAAAAGATTTAGGTCAGGTTCATCTATTCTTCCTTTTTTTTTTTTTCTTCCCAAAATAAGAGGGAATATTAATTTAGCACAATTATGTTAAATTTTTGTGAGATTTTCTTTTTACAGATACTTAATCCAAAATGTGTGTATGATCTTTTTCTTAGACTATTTCAAAATTTTGAGATTATTGATTTAAAAAATAGTACATATGTGTTGTATAGAAAATACCTTACTAATCAGTGTGTCATTGCTTCACTGAATTTTCCAAATGTACTTTTTCTGTTCACCAGGTCTTTGCAGTGATGAGATAACAATGAATATGTGTTCTTGAGAGTGAGGACCAGAGCTTTTGCAAAGAGAATTGGTTGTCTCTCATGTTGATGTGACATTTAATAGATAAGTGGACTGAAAAACTTAGCTTTATCTCATTTCTGTGTATCTCGTGTTAGTATAGATTTATTTAGTTTTGGTACCTCACATTCTGTGAAATTATTTAATTGGATAAAATAACTGTTAGACTATTGATTTTTACCCAAAGGGTTTCCTTTTTATGTTGTTCTTTTTCAAAGACGTGCCTTTAAAAAAACTATAATTTAGAGAACCACTAAAACAGAAAATGTTATTTCCTATGTAGTTTCAAGTACATATTTTCCTCCTTTTCGACTGGCCAGTTTTTTATCCCCTGGTAAATGGCTTTCAAACTTTTTTCATTGCAAACCACTATAAGACACATTTTCGTTTTTGCCAAGTATTTATACACATGAATATACATATTAATATTTAAAATTGAAACAAGTTTAGCCCTGGCTGGCTCGGCTCAGTGGATAGAGCGTCAGCCTGGGGCCTGAGGGGGTCCCAGGTTCCATTCCGGTCAGGGGCACATGCCTGGGTTGCAGGCTTGATCCCCAGAGGGGCGTCCAAGAGGCAACTGATCAGTGATTCTCATCATTGATGTTTCTGTCCCTCCTCCCTTACTCTCTGAAATCAATAAAGTAATATATATATATTTTAAATTGAAACAAGTTTCATTAAACAATATTTACCTTTACTATTGGTGATACATAGTAATATTTTCTACTTTATTTTGTTTTCTTGTATTTCATTCGAAACAAATTTTTGGTCTACATTAAGTTGATACAACCTATTAATGTGTTGTACCTGTAATTTGCAATATTCTAGTGACTGCCAAGTTTTTTTTTCTCCAATATGGCCTTTTTTGAATTGAAAATTTTTGGGTTTCTTAGTTTCTTCCTCTGAAATGTATCTTGATTCTGTTAAGCTAAATAATTGTGCAGAACAACTGAGAGAAAGAGATACTGTTGCTCTGATTATTATTGTTGTCATTTCTGTTCTTTACTGTGTCTAGGCACATCATTTAAAAATATATATATTTTATTGAGTTTTTACAGAGAGGAAGAGAAGAGGGATAGAGAGTTAGAAACATCGATGAGAGGGAATCATCGACAAGCTGTCTCTTGCACACCCCCTCCTGGGGATGTGCCCGCAACCA